GCCTAGTCTTACATAGAAACGTACCCATCGATTTGAAGACAAATCCCGCTCTCGCTGAATGGGCGGAGCTAGTAACTGTCTTGCCTTCCTCATTGGTGCTTTCTCGTTTCTGAGGCAGCGAAGACCAGTCGCAAAAAAGGGAGAAGGCGCAGTGGCAGGCCTGACACCGCCCACAACATAGAATTAGCCTTCAGCCCTTTCTAGAACATGTTCCTTGCTATCATTAACGACTCGTATGTCGAAGTGAAAGCCGAATTGGCACGGCAGAACGATGGCGACGGAATATTCGATTGGATCAGACAGGTCAGTAGGTGCCTTAAAAGACTGTTCGGGCCATGCAATCATGATAAAACCATTTACTACAGAAAGTGACTCGGGGGAAGAAGGATGACAAAAAAGTTGCCACTTACAACGACTACAAGATAGATTTGTTGATGTAAGTGGGTCAATACTATCAGATAATAGAAATTACTATGGAGGAATAGCATTGCTTCAGGGCTGGTTATAACGAGAAGGTCATAACGGACGCGTTCGAGAAACTCAACATAAGCCTGAACGACGAAGTCAGCGATGAGGTTAGTGGCATTTTTTGAAAGAAAACTCTCCGCTGCAAATCGGCAACTCACAATTATAGGCCCTAATCGAGGTGGGAAACGAGATTAAAGAGCAAGTTGAGCGCCAGAAAATCATCGACGAGGAGTATCGTTCGACAGCAGTGTAAGTGATGCATAGCTATTAGGCACAGGGTACACCATCGTTGTGCAAAACCCTTCGGGGGTCATACTGGCCGCTGGCCAGGGGAGGGTCGTCGAAAGGCAGGGTGGGTGAGCACCAAACAGCACATCGCTAAGTTTGGTGGAGTGAACGGAATGCTGCAGAGGACCCGGATATAAGAAATACTACAAAATAGTAAAACGATAGCCTTCCAAACCCTGAACAAACATCTGCTTGCATGGACAAAAATCATCCTAAAATCGGAAGTTACACCTTTTCATCATATCTGCGTTGGAGCGTAATGCACGGCCGCACATCGTACCAGAGGCACTCGAGTGATAACCAAATTATACTTTGACTTCGGTCATGCTTATAACGGGAATAGTGGTCCAAAGCATCATTGAAGTTTGCGAAATGGAGTTCTTACAAATGGCACAGAGGGAACACACATGTCACCCAAGGGTTGTTCCCAATCTAAAATATTTTCTAAACTAGGGTCTTCATGGAATACTGCAGAGCGTCAGAGATTGCGAAATATCTTGGGCAATCCGATTGGCTCTTACTAATGGGTAAGGATAACCAACTCGTCCATGGCCAATTCAGAATTGCACGATGTATACTCTAGGAGGAACTGAGCGTCTCCGGATGCTGATATCAGATCTGACTTCCAAATCTGCTAAACGATTCTGGGTGGAGAGTTACGGACCTTTTTTGCTACCGTGCTTAACCATTGCGGTGCGACCCCCTGCCCATGCTTTGCGCTCGTAAACCCCTCGTGACCCAGCCGCCGCCGTCCATTGGCTTCGGATGGCTCAGAGGTAATGTTGGATGGCTTTCATAGTAGTGAGACGGAGGTTCAAATCCTTGATGCATTTCGTAGTTTTGCTTTTTCTTGAAACGCATGCTAAACACTTGGGAAGTAGTTTTGCGTACCTGTCCGACCACCAAGACCCCCTCCCTGCTACTTATTGAGCCCCGCGAACGATTTTCGTGGAAACTTACACTTTGCCTAACTAGCTCAAGCAAGGGACCAAATACACATGCACATATCTGCTTGGAGCTCGTGAACTGCGAGATTTCATCATCCTATAGGATGACAACGTGTGTGGCCAACGAAAGAATTCGTCATCTCTGGTAGCTCTCTTCACTCACGCCCACAATATCAGCCAACATCTTTGCGACCTGTCCACCATAGTTGGAAATAATTGTTCTGCAGACTTGGTGCTATTAAACCTAGTGAAAGAACATGTCGAGAGGGGTCTTGCGATATTGTTTGATCACTATCCCGCAAAGAAAAGAATTGCAGAGAGTTTCTATCCTATTGTGCGCGACGCACTGTACTACAACCGTATAATCGACTGCGTATGTGGAGATAGGCTTCGTGCGTGAGGGACGAACATACGGATCCTTTCTGGGCATCTGAAGATAACGATGAATCCCTTCAGAGCATCTAGATTTGAACAATTTCTTTCTTAATCCTGGTATTCAGCAGGTTACCTTGACACTCATCCAGACGAGTTCGAGAGTTCTCTCCAATATTGCATTACATATCATCTGGAGGGAATCTGTGAGAATAATGGTTGCAGCGAAACTCTTTTTTATTTCGGCAGCTCAGCACTGTGAAGAACTTTTTTGCTCTAACCATTTTGTATTGGGATATCACAATGTGCTCGCTTAAAGGCACAACCTGCGATAAATCGCAATCACAGATAGTGCATTAGGGGTTCGCATAGACTAGACGACAATGTGCTGTGTAACTCGGTAATGAAAAAAAAAAGGCAGAAAAAACTCGTCACCCGCCTTACAATTAGATAGAACCCCATTTCAAGCCACTTTGTACGTGCCCAGTGAGCTCCATCTCCTACACTACGCCCTCATCCATACAGCTTATTCACTATAAGAACTCTACGACCTCACAAGTGAGCTTACGATTTTCATGCTTTTTCGTCCTGCAGCTTCGTTTTCCATTGGATGATGGGCTTTGAAGGCGGAGTCCGG